TCTAAAGTCTCAATTATTATTATTTCATCTATTTGAACACACGTTTTTTATTATGATTAAATTTAGAGATATACTTTTCCATAGAGAATTAAAAAAATTTAAATCAATACAGAAAATGCATATTGAATACTTTTTTGTAATAAAAAAATTCAATTATCTCATCCTTAAATTATTCAGATAATATATAGCCAACAACATATATTAACCGGTCATTCTCTGGTGCATCTATCCCAGCTCTCTCTTTCTCTCTCTCTCTTTCTTTCATTAGTATACACACAAAATATACATACGCACGACGCACAAGGCGAACATGTCCGCGAGAGACGAAGGGAATTCCATCACCCTTCTGCCGTAAAAAAAAGGCGGGAAGCCCTTCGGCGCGCGCGCGTTTCATCCCTCTCGTTCGCCGAGGTGCGCCTCGTCGCCGTACCACGCCTTTTACCCCCGTGCCCATTGCTAAGCGATTGTATATCGGACGAGCCACCCGGTGCTCGTTCCCATGACAAGTGCGATGGGTATTTTCACTCGTGAATCTTTAATTCCACCGTGGGAATCGAGACTATATCGCATCGGCCGGAGATCCGCGCCGATATTACGACTAAGCGCGGATATGTTCCGTGATCCGATTAGATTACATCCTTTATAGACGAACTACATATACAACGCGGTCCTTTGTGACACCAAGCGGGAGGAATATGCGTAAATCTCGCGGATATTATAGAGTTTAGTCGAGCAAATATCTCTCGTGCGAACAGAAAAAATTCATTCTTATCTAAAATATTTAAAAAAATAAATGCAAGGAATATACACACACACATATCAAAAATAAAATAAAAAATGTAGATGTATCATAGATGTATAAGAATAATATAAAAACTAAAAAAAATTTGAGAGAGAGTAAAATAGAGAAATGATTCTGCATCTATTGAAAAATGAAAAAAGATTTTACGAATGCACTTAGCGCAAATGATATAAAATATAAACATATACATAATATAAAATAATATATATCAATACTGAACACGTCATCTGATTCTTTCATCTTTTTGAATAGCATTTAGTCCTTTTTTATATTTTTTACACGACAAATGTAAAATGATTTTGTTAATATTTTCGCCCTCCCTCCATTGAAATTGATACTTCAGTACTTATTAGACAGGATTATTTCGAAGTATTCTTATCCTCGAAGCAGATGCTGGAAATCAAGTTCGCCCTTATGTACATCCCGCCGATCAGCGTCGACCCCGAGTGCGCTAAATCGATATCGAGACATAATGAAAAGGAAAGAAGAACGGGCTGCGAGAGTAGTCCAAGGGCCGCGGCTGTCCCATCTTGAAAGAAATCTCTTCAAGGGGCCCGGGCGCGAATCTTGTCGGTAACCCCCTTCGAAATTTGTTATTTGACGTTTTAGGGTGGCTTTTTCTGGTTCGCCCTACATAGTCTGATTCGATAGAATTTTAGGGTAACGACTAGCAGCTGTCCAGACGTTGACTCGATTCAGTTTTAAATTCGAAAAATTTAATCGCGTATACTCGAAATCGACACGACGAGCGCGGATTTTTTTATACAAAGAAACGTTCTTTATATTAACTTCAATTCTAATAACCGATTAAATAATTCACGGATCTCACAGATTGATATTCCCGAAAATGTACCAGAGAAAAGTTCTCCGGTGAGAGATTACACAGAGAGAATACAATAGACGTTTTATTTATATAGATAACATACTTGCATCCACAATTGATGTTAATAAAATTAACAATAATTCATTTTATGCAATTTTGTAACACTTTAGGAAAATAAAATTTCATAATTTTACTATTTTTAATAATAATTACCATATTAAGAAGCAGTAATATTAATTACTAATCAAAATTTAAAAAAATTTAATATTACAAACAATTCTTTTTACAATAAATTTAAAATAGTATATTAAAACTAATTTCATAGAAATATAAGATTTTAAACAAATATTTATTTTACTATTTATTTTAATGATTATAAAGGCAAGTTCATCACGAATTGAGCAGTTTATTTCAAAGAAGAAGAGTTTCGAAAATCATTAACATAAATATCGAAAAACCATTGACCATTCCTATTTTCTGGCTATTCATGTTAAAAAGAAAGCTAGAGAATCGAGGGAAAACAAATCCTAAAGACACACCTCAGTATTTCATTATGAGCAACTATTCATATATCACTTTGTATCTATAAGCCGAAATATTTTTCCATTCGATTGTAGGTAGCATATGCTAATAGAAGTGACCTTCCATGTATTCGCAAGCTTAATGATCTTTCTAACAATAAGACCCACCCGAGTGTGAAATCGCGGAATGACTATAAAGAGTAGCTTTGTAATTTCTTATATTGTTATCAATGGAAATTTTTACATTACTTTACATTATATTTTGTACTTAACAGCGGGATATTGAACAGACGCACACAAATGATAATAACCTTGATATCAATAAACGTGAATATTTAAAACTTTCGCTTTTATGTAAATTTTGTTTAATTTTTTTATTCCTAAATTTATTTTTAAGACTAATATAAAACAAAAATATACAAAATAGATAATAAAGAAATACACGTAATATTTTTGTATAGAAAAATGCAAGACAAAAAAAGAAAATTTTGACATAAATAAAGCAATCTTTATTATTCTTTAAAATTTATATAATTTAAGCAAAGAATATTATTTTATTAGAGATTTTATTGAATTCGAAGAGCTCCAATCCGGATAACAAAGATTATCACATTGACAATGAGATTTATTTTTTATATTTTCATGTTAGATGTCAAGTATTCAAGATAAATTTTAAGATGAATATAAGAGAAGTCTGCGAGACATAGGCCAGTATTCATAGTCTGATCTTATATTTAAGATCATCTTAAATTCATCTTCAGATAATCTGTAGCCAATAAAATAATACATACAATATCTAAAGATGAACTTAGGATGATCTTAAATATAAGAACGGACTATGAATACCGGCCATAAATGCAGTTGCATATCTCGTAATAACGTCTAATCAAAACAAAAGCAATCCCAATCTTTCGCAAGAAATATGCATCTGAATAAAAGAATACAACGAGTTTCAGTAGAGGTACCAAATAAATGATGCAAAAAATTCTTAACAGAATTGGCCTGAAACCGGGTTTAAATCTCCTCAGTCAACCTAGTCCCCCTGTCTACTCTCCCTTCCTTTTTGTCTTGTCGAGGCTGTAGACCTGCGAGGACGACCGGCCGGAAAAAGACGAATAGTTGTCTCGTCGTTTCTTTTGGCTTTAAGCACTCTGCTGAGCGACTAGCACTGAAAAGCGCGCGATAGCTGTACTTGAATGAGAGAAATACCATACTGCGAATGGCTACGAAGAAGTTGCCGGATTTCTTGTCTGTCGTCCATCCATTCGTTTGGACGCTTATTTTCTTTCTCTCTCTCTTTCTTTATACCTGGGGACAAAATACTTCAACCGGATAAAACTACGGATTCTTGGAATAAGCTCAAAATTTTGTCTTGAAATTTTTTTTCAATATCTTGGTCAAAATTTAGATTTTAAGTGAAAATATTTCGAAATTAATCAAAATTATTTTTCAATAGTTTTCAAATAATTAATAACTGACAATAAAGGATTTTTTCGCGCAAAATTAAGGAAGCAAATTAGTAAATTTGTGGAAAATAAATAAATAATGAAACTCTATATAATTAATATACAATAAACTTTAAAAGAATTATAATTGGAGAAGTTTACTTATAAAATTGATATAATCTAAAATATACGTTGAAAATTGAGAAGCTACGGCAAATGATGACTTCTCCTGACTGTTTCGCCAAGAAAGAATTTGCAAAAAAATAAATTAGCCGAACGGATCAAAGAATTTATCTTCGTTTGGAAGAATATCTGAATAGAGTTCCCATATTATATGATATATCGTTGAATATTCATAAGACATCGATTATGTTACCTAACAGAATATTTGAGAATATTAATCGTGTTCTCATAAACGTGAATTCCACACGAATCAAATGACAATTAAATTTATTTTCATGATTTAATTTATTTATAAATTAAATTTTTTAAATAATAATTTTTCGAAAAATCAATATTTCATTGTAATTTTTAAAATAATAAAATATATAAAATGTATAATGATTTATTATATTTTATATCAATATATAAAATATAATGAATCTAGTAAAGAACTTTTCACAATCTCGTCTTCGCGATAACACCGCATCCTTTGATATCAATATTACGCCGTTTATAACTTCCGTCGTTGGAAATATATACTGGCGTATATATATATTTTCTTACTTTCATACGATATTACTGATACGACTGACCTCAGTTCATTTAATTGAATATTTGACCTAAGCAACTCTGAGAGAGAGAGAAAGAGAGAGAGAGAGAGAAAATATCGAAGTATTTACTTTGCTTAACCCTTCATGGGATTGAGAATTTCGAAAAAACATGGTTGTTATATAAAAAACTCAATAGAATTTTGTATATTTCCAAAAAATAAAAATGTGAATTGAAGCATTAAATGCAAATTCATGTAGAGATTTTATTCAGAGCAAAGATGTTGCGCACGACAGTAGTAAAATTTTGTAATATTGCAATAATTTCTAATGTGCTAAGAAAAATAAAAATAAGAAAAAAATAAAAAAAAATAAAAATAAGAAAGCATGATCATTCTTGTTCCAATATTTGATTTTTATAAACTAATCTCAAATTCACATGTTGATAAAGAGAAGTGAAAAATAGATAAACGAGCAGACAAAATTAAATATTTAAAATATTTCAATTACATGAGCAAAAATAATATAATAATAATTAAAAATAAGTCACTACATCGTTCATCTCGATTTAGATCTGTGAAATAAGTCACGAGTATTCATTGGCGCTTCAAATGTGCGTGCCATCTTTATAAAATAAAAAAAACAATAAAAATACATAAATAACGATTGACGAGAATTTCCTCTCGAGAAATTACTTACGCTTCTGTAGGCGGTGAGTAAATGGACGAATGAGAATAGGATGCGTTAATCGGCAATCCACTGGCGACGAGCAATTCATTTGATATCATATCCATCATATATACAATCAGTGTACGATTCTTGTGGGAAGACGCGATGACGAGTGGTCGAGGGAGAATCGAGAGAGCGCCAGAGCACAAAGTATATCGGGTGAGTATACGTAAATAGATCCTGCGAACCTCCCGTAGAGATGCTCCGAAGCTCTCTCTGTTCACAAGTATTATCTAAACGCGGTATGGACCATTGTGTGAATTTTTCCGAGAAAATATAGCGTCAAGAGAAACAGAGAAAGAGAGAGAGAGAGAGAGAGATAGAGAAAGAGAGAGAGATATATATATATATATCTACACACTTCACGCTTACGCTTGTTCTTTAATCTCTCTCCCTTTTTTATTTCTTCCTCTTTATTATTTCTAGCTCTCTTGTGCGTCTTCTCACGAAACTTATGAAGCTTACGAGCGATAAAGCGTGACGCGCATTCCTTCTCTAGTTTTCTGTTCCCTTTTCCCTCACTCTTTCGTTCATTGTCTTTCGTTTCCTCCGCGTGTCTCGTTTCTTTAAATAATTTTTAGACTAGATAAATATTGTTCGATTCGCGTATATTGCGTGAAAATGAACGATAAAGTAGCGTCCGAAATCGCGAACTCGCGTTGACGAGGAGAAAAATAATCGTTCACCACGTGTCCTAGCGCGCGCGCGTTTACGAAATATTTCCGCGTCCTGTCGAGTATACCGCGCCGCGCGGCAACGCTCGACTTTCGGCTCGTGGACCGAAAAGGCGTCCTCTTCGGACGGCGGTTGAGCTCGGACTGGCGAGATGGTAGATGGTATTCGAAGGGTTCGCACCAGCGGAGCGACACAGTGCAAGTTCTAACGCTGGGTCCTGGTGGGCAAGGAGAGAGGGAGAGTCGCCAGGGAGAGAGAAAGAGATGACAAAGATGGAGGGAGAAAGAAAGAAAGAAAAAGGGGACGCACGGGGGAGCCGGGATCTCGACTTGTAGAGGAACGAAGGACGAGGTGGGGTGGAAGCGCCGGTCGTCCCTACGAGACCTTCCAAGCGTATGCCTGGTATGTACATACGACGTGCATGTATATACGAGAGAATCGCAGCTAAAAACGATCGACCGGGAAAAGGCGGCAAAATACGTGGACGAGACTACGAGCCACGATTTCATGCCTGCATGGAATAATAATCGAGACGAGTCGGAAAAGAAGGTCCACATGTGGAGAGAAAAGTCCGCTTGAGCTCGCTTTATCAACGAGTTAAATTTAAAATTGAATTTTATGTGCCTAGTATGTTTCCTATTGGTAGAAAAGACATATGTATTGAACATGTAAAGTTTATTGGTCTAAAACATCATTGAATATTTTTTTAAATTTATTCTTTCAATAAATTATTAAGTAAATTTTTAAAAATTCTCACGGAAAGCATACTTCTGATAGAATGTATCGTCATTAATCGTCATTTGTGCTATTTATATTACTCTTCATATTAGTTTCTTTTTAATTTTATCTAATATAAAATTGCTCGAAAATTGCTATCACCATAAATTATCTAATTTTAGAAAAATTACTTTTAACATTATTTAGTGTTTCCAAATTTTTTTAATTCGTCCCTGTAACGCTACTTTATGGGTTTTCTTTTTTTCTATAGATTCTTTTCCTTTTGATAAATTGCTTTTAACTTTAAAAAAGCAAAAAAGTGAAATTTGAAATGACGGTACATTTAAGAGAGAAGAAACGCTTTGTTTGTGAGAATGTAATAGACGCATACCTCGGGACTCTCACAGACTCAAAGTATACCTTCAGTTTAAGTTATACCTACACTATACCTGCTCACGTAAATATCTCGAAAATGTAAAAATTACGGAACTATATTTATGTGAACTATAATTATGTGAAACCGAATAAATATATTAAAATAGTAACTGATGTTAAACATTGAGTAAACAAATATGTATATAAAATATATATAAAAGAGTATGGTTTCATATTTAACAATATTGATATTTTATATTTATTAAATATAAAATTTGATATATTTATTATTTATCAAATATGAAGTTTGATATTTATTAATATGAAATTTAGTTTGATATTTATTAATATGAAATTTAGTTTGATATTTATTAATATGAAATTTAGTTACTGAATAATCACGTCAATTACAATATAAACTGTGTGCTTAACGCGTAAATATAAAATTAATATTTGTTTTAGTGTCAATTAATATAAATTCATACAATAAAAGCAAAGATTGCATCTAAGGTTTAAAATAAGGTTTTCTAAATTTTATGTGTAATTTAACTATAATGTGAATGAGACCTTAGGACGCTTATCCCATCGAGAGATACAGCGAGAAAAGTAAGTGAAGAGAAGGAAGATGAGAAGGAGGAAAGAGAGAAGAAAGAGAAGATGAGTAGGAAGCGGAGGAGGAGGCTGCGGCGAGGCTGACGAGGAAGAGGAACGTGAGAAAGACGAGGAAATGAGAGGAAGGGTTGCGGGAGTCCGCAAGGTCTCGGCGGTATCACGTTGTGTTCTGGGAACCGATCGAATACTCGATGAACAGCAGCAAAAGAATTGCTAACCGATAGAGCAAAATCATCGTAGATCCTTCTACGTGTCACGCTTCCAAGAACACCGATAATCGAATGACAGAATTTCGGCGGCTCCAAATTTTCCCTCCCCCGCTCTTTTAAAAATTTAATTTACGGAAGATTAAGAAGAGAGTGTTTATATTTGATCAAGGACAACGTTTTCCCTTTTCCTTATCTACAATAACAATGGAAATTATAATCATAACAGAGCTTCTTAATCTCGAAGGATAAATTAAAATAGATGCAAGGCGACCAGAAAAATATCGCGTTCTTCATTAATTCCTCTTTAAATGTACTAAAATTTTTATGCACTCTTTTTAATACAGTCAGAAGAAACCTGAAGGCTGTAAGAGGCAGAGATACATCGCGCGAGAGAGGCAACGTTGCGTGACTCGTCTCACTCGTCTCGGAGACTGCTCCGAAATTGAGAGCGGCATATGCTGAAGTTGAAAGGATATGCAAAATCTGGAAGAAAGGACTTCCTGCATGATGTACCAAAAACTGCGAGAGAGAAGCGCGTCCGGACCGACTAACATTCTTCGCAGCCGATTCGAGGAAGAAACGTGAAGAAGAAAGAGACGTCGCGAGGACGCCAGAGGGAAAGAGTGACGAAGAACGATGCAGGTACGCGCGGGACGCGGTGATACGTCGGTGGATTGGATGCAGGTCGTGATACAGACAGGTTTTTCTCGCCGCAGCGCACGAGAGAGCAGCGTCTTCCGGGTTCTCAATTCGGATAAAAAGAAGAGTGCCAAGCTTCCAGGCGAGAGGCGGTCCAGCTCAGACTACGATCATCTGAGAATCGCTCCAGCGGCCACCCTTACTCGACGAAAAAATATACCAAAAAAAACTTTTGCGAATAACGGACAATTGCCTGGTATTGTCACGCGTGGCAAACTCTGCGTTTTGCCGATTATTCGTGTTATTTTTTGAGAGTTCTTTTGTATGAAGGCCTGATGCGTCAGATTTTGTACACTCGGTATTTTTAAAAAATATTGGGTCGCATGATTGTTGCAATTGTTGAAAATTTATGATTTTGTATTTAATTAGTAAAAAGAGAAGGAGTAATATATCAAAAATTAAAAAATATCTAAGACATATATCTAATAAGAGTGCTAATATTTTTTGCTATATATATATATATATATATATATATATATATATATATATATATAGCTTTTTTGTAGATAATCATCACTAGAAAGTTTCCTAAGTTTTATGTATATATATAAAACTTTTATAGCCTTTCTTTTCTATGGGAGAATTTATTACACAGGTAGTAAAGTGCAGACAAAATATCGATACAGTATTTTCCTAGTACAAAAGAGTGAAATTTTTGAAGAAAACTGTTTCAAACATTGTTGACATCAGTCAAGTACATAAATATTTTATTTAACATTATTTTGATGTTATATAACAAAACATAATTAGATATCAAATAATGATAAAATAATAGTAGAGCACTAATGTTGTTATGCTATATTCTAATAATTTGCTAATATTATTGCTTTTCTTTATGCTTTTCTTTTATATTTATTTTATTTTGATTTATTTTGATATTTATTTTGGTTATTAAAATTAAATGTATACATAAATTTATCTAATTCTTTCAATTTCTTGTTTCGTTGGTAAGAAGATATCAGAATATACATGAAAAAAATTCCCCTTTATACATATATAATAAATTTTTATACCGAAAAGAAAGGCTACAAAGGTTAAAAAAGAAAAAAAAATATATACACCTATTTTTTTCTTTTTTTACTCTTTATATTTAACCTATATATACCTATATTTCTGTATGAAAATTTATTATTGGGATGATAAAATACAAAGTATAAAATACAAAGTATCGAAATGAGTCTGCGTGAAAGTTTAATGTTTGAAACTTTATGAATTTTGCTAATAATGTTCGTGAATTATGTTAATCATATGACTCTCTTCAATTTTAATACGCTCAATACTGATCATTTTCAACAATGATGCAATAATAATTTTCTATGTATAAGTCCCGGCGTATAAACTTAAAGAGCCACATGCGCCGGGTGTCGATCCTGCCCTACCGCCGCCGTGCGCTGAATAGCGGCGCATCCACGAAGGATGAAAGAGATGGGGCCGCGACCAAACCGGGAGGGTCCGTCGTCGCCTCTGTTCCTATGAACGGGGGGCCAGCTGTCCCCCGTTTGTTTCCGCGCGCGCGAGCGCGAGATGACCGCCGGCGTCGCCGGCGACATCGGGGTCACCTAACCGAGAGCTTTCTGTGTATGTGTATACATGTATGCACTGTGCGAATCTCCGATAAACAACACCCAAGTGTGCGAAATTTTTTAATTGATTTATTAACTAATCCATTTTTGGGCGAAAAATTTATCACGACTGATATGATTTTAACGCTAAATAAATTTCTCTTACTTTTTAAATTCAATGTTTAATCTTCAAATATTAAATCAACTGTCTTAATTAAGTTTTTCTTTTTATTTTATGTCAAAAATTAATTTTTCAGATAGATATTTGCATAATGTAAATAAAGGCAATTAAAAAATCACGCAATGATATATAGACTAAAACACAAGGTAAGCTATTTGGAGAGCTCGAATGTATATATGTACCGGAAATAAACGAGCAGAACAGCAGGATTAAAGAGCACAATCTTCGAATCATAGCAATATGCAAATAATGGCGCGAAACGCGTGAACAGACGAGGGGACGATCAAGGCAAACGGAGAGGAAGGAGGGGAGAGACGTGGGAGGTGCAGGAGGGTACGACGACAGGACGACAAGCACGTAGGGGCGTGTTCGCGTCTACGACAAGAGACCAGCAGGCGATGCACGCGTAGTGTTTGTCCTCGTCTGGCAGTTGCCATGCGGGGCACTGGAGAACCCGGGTTGACGTCACCCTATCTCTCCCAACGGGCAACTTAATATTGATAAGTGGAAGCGTGTAGCGTTCCGGGATACGAAAAAAAAATCGCCTTGTTAGTCGGGCATGCCGGGGTACACGCGCATGATTGACTATGATTGATTCTGCACATTTGCGTGCGATAGAAATAAAAGCGCAAAAAGATGCGTATACAATATTTCGTATAATAATTATACTTAAACTAACTAATGAAAAAAATATGTATCTTTGTGCAAATCAATCCTGAAAATAAGCACAATTTAAGTATAATTATACGTAATGTTTGATCGATGAAGAATTATGAAGGGAACGAAAGAGAGAGAGAGAAAGACAAGGGGAAATAATTCACAACAAAATAAATCACAATGATTCGACTTCTCACAGAAAATGTTACTTATGAAAAGAAATATTTTGAATATCTTAATAAGCGAAATTTATGCAAATAAATTTAAGAATTTTCATCAACATTGATATACAACATTGATGACAATAAATTTAAAAATTTTCATTCTATATTTTATATATCTTTTGAACTTTCCAACTACTTTCATGGATTATTTTACCTCGGAAAAAAAGAATGATTTATTATACGCGACTTTTAATAAAATTTGTTTTCTATGAATAAAAAAAGATTATTTAGCATCACTCATGTGTGTATGTATAAACACAAAACAAGAAATAAATATAAACTATAAAAGAAAATATCAAGTCAAAATCAAATGTGATGTTCTGAAATATTCTATAGAAATTAAATATCGTAATAATATGAAAAAATGTTGACTAGGGGACAAATGACACACATAACAATGATAATACATCAAATCAATAATAAATAGATCTGTGACGTATTGACAAACGATACTGAGTTCACCTCGAAACAGGAATGTCATTGCTATTTTCAATTTTTCGCATTACACTATATAACATATTATATTATAGAATTAATAAGAAATAGAAACAATGAAATAATAAAAATAAAATTGCGCATTGTATCTACGTGATGCATGCGAAAAGGTTAGATGCATAGGAATGCAAAGATGCATTTCTCAGATCTTTCTGTCCAGAAAATACTATTGAATTAGCATAATATTCTGAAAACAATGAATGCCTCGGTCTTTAAACCTTTTACGATATCGAAACATCGCGCAATATATTTAGAAAACAAATATCTGTCATATGACAAATATCCCCGACTGCACTTTCCCACTCTTTTTCTTTCCCGCCAAAATATTTCGTTTTAGAAAGGACTATAAAAACGTAGCCAAGATACTTGCTTCGACTGCTTTTCCCGTGTTGTCTGCATCCCTTTCTCTTCCTTTTTCTCTCTAAAGTTGAAATTTAGACTTATATAATTTTAAACGCATAAAGCATGCAGAAAAAGAGGGAAAAAAACAGAGAGAGGGAGAGAGAGACGTATCAAAACAAGCAGCCTCAAAGAGCTTAGGAAATTGGAAAGGCGCGAGTTTTTGGTGACAGAAAAGCAACATATAGACTCACCTCTTTTCATCAAGATACATATTGTTCAATGTTACATCATTGCTGGGTGAACTGCCGTAATTTGCGTTAGAACGATGATCCCTTAGCGATTTAATTACAATATGGCCGGTCATGCACCCTCGAACAACGCGAATTCGTGATTCTCAAACGGGAGGACCTTGTCAGTCTCTTATGATGCTGTCACGAACCAACACGAATCGCCGATCGCGTTCACTCATCCACTGCGGATCCGTCCAATCGATCATATCCCGCTGATGATCGCGTCAAATCTCGACGAGTTTGACAGACGGGGTTTTACGGCATGTTTCGCTCCCCGCGATGTCGCGACACCATTTATTTCACGTGACGCGCAGGGTAACTTCCTGTGATATACGATGTTTTCCTGTATTATCGACGATACTTGAAATTAGACACTCTGTTACGTTATCGACGACAAAGAATCGCACTACACTTTTATACAAAATATTTTGCTCCTAATATAATTAATTATCGATAAAAAGAAATGACTATTCCATTCTTGGTGGGATGCTACTTAGCTCAAAATAGTAGAACTTTGTAAATCATAAATGATATTGATAGAGCCCGAAAATTTTTAGAACTAAGAAATATCTACTACACGAACAATAGCGCGTACTTGCGCGAACGTAGCTGCGCACACAAATTGTCAAATTAAAAGTTCGTGGCTTGTTGCGCTAATAAATGACTAGAAATTACTAAATGCTACTTGAGTGTGTTCGGAAATCTATTTCTATGGAATTGCTTTCGACCAATCAAGACAAGGAAATTCTTTTTATCCCGATTGGTCAAACCAGAGAGAAGCTCTGCAATTTATATTGGAATATAATTATAAATAATATTGAATTTAATATTATAAATAAATAAGTTAAAATTAAAAAAAATTAAAAAATAAATGCATATCGAAATTCAAATTCACCTAAATATTAAATTGAGATTGAAATAAATCGAAATAAACTAGAAGATAAAGAAATAAGTGTCTTGACTTTACTTTTTTGAATTTTGTACTTATAATAAAAGAGATTACGCGTGTATTATTCCTTAAAGGAGGAGAATAATGAAAAATATATAAAAAATAAAATTAATAAATCTCACGTTACTTATATTGACTTATATGCGTAATCTATAAAATTTTCGTGCCAATTTCATATTTCATTTAACAGTTTAATATTTGCAACAAGTGTCAACAATAAATATAGTATTTAAATAAAAATGAAATTCAGATGCAGAATGGTGGATCCAAACATTATGCGAGATTTTACAAGTAAAATCACATTTTCGTATTTCTAACCTTACTGAGAATATTATTAAAAATAGATATATCTCGCTATTTTTTATTTTTACTTCAATTATATTTCGCACGCACTAACTGTTCTTTATTAATCATAATCATCCTTTTTTTAGGCATTGTCAACACCATATCCCGAATAACGAAATATTGTGTTCTGAGATTGACACCAGACGAGTTATGCTTCAATATCGGCGACGAACGAATACCTGTACTTTGGGCTGTACTTTCTCAGCAATATCTTTTCACAGAATATATTATGAGTGGAGTGTCAGAGGAAGAAAATGAAATTTACTTAGAATTTGATGTTTCCATGTTTGCCAGAAGTTTAAATAGTTTAAGGATAATGGCAAAAAGTGTCAAAATTAAATTGACAAACAAACGGCAACCTTGTCTCACATTTGATATTGACTTATCTTCCATGGCTATTGACTCACGACAGTGTATACATGATGTACCAGTGAGGCTTATACCACGCAGAGAATGGATAGAACATAAAATGCCAGATGTTCCTGAATTTGATGTAAGTATAATAAATTCCATGTGAAGTTCCATAAATATATACGTGTACTGTATCTCTCTCTGATTAATACAAGAAAAAAATTTTGTTTTAGATATCGATAGAAATACCACACTTGAAGTATTTGCGGTGTATTATAGATAGAATGAAAAATATGAGTTCACAACTAATAATAACTGCTAATAAAAATGGTACAATGATATTAAAAATTGAAGTGGACTATGCTACTGTGTCCACTCACTTTAAAGGATTGCAAGTTTGGAAAAGCAAAGAAGAACAGGAATCTAATGATATCTCTGCAACTGTGAACATAAAGAAACTTGCAATGTTTCTTGGTTGGGACATTCTCCATCCAGATAGTGTTAAGTGTAACATATTGCAGGAGAAGATGATAAAACTGACTTTAGATGTAGGAGAATATGTTAAAATTCATTATTTTATACCAGCCATTGCTTCCTGAGTAATAAAAAGAAATTTGTATTAATAATATTGAGATACAAAATATATTTCCTATTTTTTCATTCTTACACATTTAATACAATTAAATCATATATGTTTCCACACTCTCCAAAAAATGAGATAACATGATATACTAAATTTAAAAAATAATTTTTATAAGTTGAAATGTAAAATAAGTTAACTAATTGTATGCTAAATGTAAATTCTGTTCACTTTCTTGTCTAAAACTCTGATGCATTTGATCAATATGTTGTATTTTTTGGGTCAGCAAAGCTGTCTGCTGATCGAGCCATTGTAAACTATTCATATGTGCATTCAAAATTTTTCCAATTTGGACAATAGGATCGCTAGAATCCTGAGCGCGGTTTGCTTCATTTAAGTGTTCTATTATTTCCTTTAAATCCTCTGACATACGTTTTAATTGAGTATCGAGATTCTCTGATAAACGATAAGTATATTCTCGATCGGAATCAGAAACAGAAAGAGATGCTAATTCTTTTTCTAATGGTATCAAACATTCTTGTAATTCTTTCTGTTGTCCAACCTGAGAGAATATATTGTATTATTTTTAATTAAAATTTAATAATAAATTTTATTTTGACTTTTACTATTTTAAACTTTAGATAGAATTATATTAAATGTATATGTATTTTTTTAATTTTATAAATTTATTATAAGCTGCAAATATATGTTACTTACCACATAATCCAGTTCATGTTCCAATTGTTGCTGTTCAATTTTCACTCTTTCAACCTCTTGATTCAATGTCACTATCTTTTCCCCATTTGTTATCAACAATTTATCCCAAGCATTAATCTGCGTTGCTTGATTTACAAATACTTTTTCTTGCTCTTCTAAATCTAAGGTCCACTTATTAATCGATTCTTCAAGCTGACAGAAATTAATTGCTCCTGATTGAATACCAGTTACAGAACTAACCCTGTAATAAAAAAAATAAAGAATTTTAGAAGCTTAATAAATAATTGAATTTATTTTGTTAATTACTAAGACCCATATTCTGAATCTTCTTTTATCGATAGAAGTGCCTCTAAAAGAGGCTTATAAGCTTTCTGATTGGCTACAAGCCACTTTTAAAAGCACTTTTATCAATAAAAGAGGATTCAGAATATGGACCTAAGTGTACAAAAATTGATTGTTATAAATAAAGATTTCATAATTATTACTGAAACTTACGTAGTGGTAGTACCCAAAGAAGTATGAGTAGAGGGTGCTGTCAGACTCGTTGAAATAGGAGCCGAAGTTGTTTTATTCAAAAATGTAGAACTCGTTGTCGATGTTCCAACTCCAAAATTAAATCCTGCAGTTGTCGTTGCAAGAGGAAATCCTGTAGTTGCAGTTGTAGTAGTATTATAGCCTGTCTTTGAGGCATCAAACGAAAGTCCTGGTGTCATAGATGGAACTGTACTGCTAGGAAGACTAAAACTTGGAACATTTGCTGCTGTAGATGTTGTTGCAATTGTATTACTAAGACCGAATCCAGTTCCAGTAGACATAGCATTTGGAGTGCCAAAAGTCAGACCAGTTGGGCCTATAAATACAATATATATGCATTATTTTTTACAATTTACAAAAATAAATGAAATCAGGAGATCCTTTATATTGCACCAAGAAAAGTATCTGTAGGTTTTGATGTTCCAAAACTGAGACCTCCTGTTGTAGTCGTTGCAAGAGAAAATCCTGGAGCTGCAGTTGTGGATGTTTTTGCAGCGTCAAAAGAGAGTCCTGATGGTACAGACATGGGTGCCGCACTGCTCGTCAGATTTGTAAAATTTGGCAGGCTCGAAACTGTAGATATGGATGTTGTTGTTACACTACCACCAAGACCAAAGCCTATACCAGTAACCATGGTAGTTGGAGTGCCAAAAGTCAAACCAGTAATTCCTGAAGAATACAAAGATTAACTGTCAAAATGTTGTCTTTTATCCAAATAGAATTCAAGAAAAACCGAGAAACACATAAAAAAAATACTCTATTTTTTCATGAAAGCTGGTGCTATTACTACCTGCTGTAGATTTTGGGGTACCAAAAGACAATCCGGTGTTTTGAGGTGTACTCATTATTTATACTCTTGACGCTACGATAGGTTCAGCTAATAAGAGAAATAGTGGTTATTTTTTTACGGATATTCTCCTGTAGGATGCAATACCAGAGAGAAGACTGAGGTCCGTTCCAACAGTGGCCAGTTAGCTTAACTAGTAGCTAAAGCACACACTTTCCATGAGCCATAACAGTAAGGTTTCGACCAATCGCGTTGCTCAATTTGGCCGTCCGTAACCAAATTGAGCAACGCGATTGGTCGAAAACTTACTGTTAAGGTACAATTTCATTGACGCTAAAAAGTAGCATTAACAATTGGTTGAACAAAGAAGCAACTACTTACTTCTTTGTTCAACCAATGGTTGACGCTACTTTTTAGCGTCAATGAAATTGCACCTTAACAGTTGGCAGCCCTACGAGATAGGCTGTGCAGCACTGCGCGTATATAAAATAAATTTGAAATCGCTTCTAGTCTAACCATCTTCACGCGATCGACTTTATTTGAATTGCACGGCATCGCATCGAATTATGATGCGGCGCCGATTTGTTTGAACGTAATTCGGGACATCGCGATGCTGTATAAGCGTCGAATGAGCACGAATTGTCACGCAAATATGATAAATCACATCTACTCACCGTTCACCGGCTGTTCCACAGGCCGCTCCACTCGCTCGCCTCGGGACGTCCCATTCCGATCTTGATGCACACGATATCATCAACGCGAACGCGCGACACTTTATTCGGCACTCCCGATATTCGCTCGCATCCGATAATCATCATCAAGGGCGCAAATAACGCGACGCAACTTCGCTCCATCTTCGCGATCGCGCTATCACTGAACTGTGAAAAATAGCTGTCGCGCACTTTCACCGACATATTATGAAAGTCGCGCGATCATCCTTGGACACTTTCGACGCTCTTTCACTCGCGATATTCGTTTAAAAACGGTTAAAAGACGCGAAAAATGCGGACGTACGACGATCCGTGTAACTGCGTATGACTCCGATTCACGTATGACGCGTATGACGTAGCTATGACGCGTATGACGTAGCAGTCACGCGCCAACATGGCGGCCGAACCAGTGTGCAGAAACGAATGCGCACTGGTTCGGCCGCCATGTTGGCGCGTGACTGCTACGTCATACGCGTCATAGCTACGTCATACGCGTCATACGTGAATCGGAGTCATACGCAGTTACACGGATCGTCGTACGTCCGCATTTTTCGCGTCTTTTAACCGTTTTTAAACGAATATCGCGAGTGAAAGAGCGTCGAAAGTGTCCAAGGATGATCGCGCGACTTTCATAATATGTCGGTGAAAGTGCGCGACAGCTATTTTTCACAGTTCAGTGATAGCGCGATCGCGAAGATGGAGCGAAGTTGCGTCGCGTTATTTGCGCCCTTGATGATGATTATCGGATGCGAGCGAATATCGGGAGTGCCGAATAAAGTGTCGCGCGTTCGCGTTGATGATATCGTGTGCATCAAGATCGGAATGGGACGTCCCGAGGCGAGCGAGTGGAGCGGCCTGTGGAACAGCCGGTGAACGGTGAGTAGATGTGATTTATCATATTTGCGTGACAATTCGTGCTCATTCGACGCTTATACAGCATCGCGATGTCCCGAATTACGTTCAAACAAATCGGCGCCGCATCATAATTCGATGCGATGCCGTGCAATTCAAATAAAGTCGATCGCGTGAAGATGGTTAGACTAGAAGCGATTTCAAATTTATTTTATATACGCGCAGTGCTGCACAGCCTATCTCGTAGGGCTGCCAACTGTTAAGGTGCAATTTCATTGACGCTAAAAAGTAGCGTCAATGAAAAGGCCGCTTTAAGATGCGGCCTCATTGACGCTAAAAAGTAGCGTCAACCATTGGTTGAACAATGAAGCAACTATACTTACCTCCTTGTTCAACCAATGGTTGACGCTAAAAAGTAGCGTCAACCATTGGTTGAACAATGAAGCAACTATACTTACCTCTTTGTTCAACCAATAGTTGACGCTAAAAAGTAGCGTCAATCATTGGTTGAACAATGAAGCAACTATACTTACCTCTTTGTTCAACCAATGGTTGACGCTACTTTTTAGCGTCAATGAGGCCGCACCTTTATGCTTATGAAAAGTGTGTGCTATAGCCTTTAGGCCCATTCTACATTGAGTCGTAAATCGTAAGTCGTAGGCAAATTGACCAATCATGGTTGATTATTTCAAAAATAATGCATGCAATAAAACATGATTGGTCAATTTGCCTACGACTTACGATTCATTGTAGAATGGGCCTTAACTGGCCTTAACTGTTGGAACGGAACAGCCATGACACTTCTCAGTCTTTTCTCTGACTGCGTTTGCTTTCCACGCTCATGCGCTGTGAGCATCATTTCGTCCTTATTGCACATCGAATATCAAACAAAGATAGAGCGATGCTTTCAGCGCTAAAACCGTCAAAACGAACGCAGCCTCTGTGTATATACACGTGTGGTTTACGACTCGTAAGATTATTTACAAAACGATGGCGTACGACTTAAAAAACGAAGAAGATGTGAAGGAATTCTTGAAGAATCTTCATACAGAGTATCAATTTGGTTGTTATAGCGAGAAAAAAGCAAATGGTAAGTAAAGATATATTGAGAACTGAGCCTAACCTAAATGTCAAAACAATATTTTATTCCGTGAATAGTCTGCCACTTATTAGGTGATTATTACGAAGCGATAAAGCAAGAGATGGAAAAGGCCGCTGCGATATACAAGGCAACCTGCGATCAATATAATTATGCTAGAAGCTGTGCGAAATTCGGTGATTTCAAAGCAGTCGGTGAGTGACTGGATATTATATACATCTTATATAATATTTGGGAAATAAGTGTACACCTGAGCTTATATGCTCATGGGAGTTGCTTGTATCTTTAGTAAAAAAAAGACTAATTTGCTAATAATATTTGAAATTAATATTATTAAATTTATAATAATAATAAATGATATTTGAATTTTTTAATTAATAATATTAATTCATCTAATCTTGTTATCAAGAAACTTTACTTTTTCTGATAATATACCTTTGATGAAGAAATTAATTTGCTAATAATATTTGATAAGATTAATTTACTAATAATGTTTGGTAAATATTTCTTTAAATATTTGAAATAGAGGAAACCTATAAGTACTTTTTAAGCACTTTGTATAATATTTCCTTATTTAATGCAGGTAAAGGTTGCAAGCGAGATATACCGACAGCATACAAATATATGTCAAAAGGTTGTGAACTCAATGATGAGTATGGATGTCTGCATGCTGGTGTGTTGGGAACATCTAAGAATAATGTCGGAGAAAAGATAGGGTAACATCCACAGTGTGTGGTGTTAAAACAATTGAAAAAAGGCCTGTGACATGTACAATTCAGACAAAGCTTGTTTTTATTTATCGGGTATTTATTTGGGTGGTCTTGAGGGCATCATTGACAAGAACTATAAAGAGGCTTACAAGCTATCATTGAAGAGCTGTGAGTTTGGTAATCCATATGCTTGTGCGAACCTGTCACAGATGCATGCGCGAGGAGAAGGCGTGCAAAAAAATCCCGAGCTTGCAGAAACCTTCAAAAAACGTGCCAATGATCTGTATCAAGAATTGAAGCAAGTACAACCAGAATTGAAGTTTCATCAAGGTATAGACCCGTGACATATGACTCTTTGATATACATTAGATTTATTAAAAAGCTTGTTTGTTTATATAATTCTAAAACAAAAAAAATGTGAACAATTTCTTTGCTCAAAACGAAGCTTTTCAATATGTTGAACTCTTAATACAATGCATGTAAAAATTGTAGATTGATATAGAAAAATTATAAGACTCCTTTATAATTTTTTATTATAATTTATTAAATTGATCAATGCATATATATATATATATATATATATATATATATGCATTGATCAATTTACTAAATTATAATATATATATATATATATATATATATATATATATATATATATATAAAATTCAGATAATTGTTTAGTTCATTATTTATTATAGCAAATTATTCATTTTTTGTAATTTTCTATATATCATTGTTCCAATAATTAAATATCTGTAATGCAAATTGTTAACTTATTCTGTTATTATATTAAGATATATTAAATATATCTTATAATTTTGTTCACAATTGTTTTATTTAATCACTGTTTTATTTATTTAATTGTGTATGTTTCTATACACAATTGTAAATATTTAGAAAATGTTCCTTTCCAAGGTGTGCAAATTTTGTGCATATTTTATAAAAATTAAAATTTGTTTGCCTAACATAGAGTGAATTAAAATGAAATGTTCAAGTAAGTTTATAAAATATTATTTAAAGCAATTTTATTTCGTTGAAAACGTATAAATACAATAAAAAATAGAATTATACAAGAAGCTCTTTTGCTATTTTTAAAAAATATAAATCTACACATAGCAAGTCATAAAAAAATCAATAAATGTTAAAATAAATGCCAATCAACATTAAGCAAATTAAAAAATTTAATTTTGCAAGGCAAAAATTTAAATAAGGCCATATAATTTGTGGATTTTTATATTCTTTGTAATTAAAATAAATTTTACTTGTTTTTTATTTTAAATTAAGAAATTTATTTTTAAATTATCTTAAATCTATTTTACTAGAAAGAAAAAACCAAGTTTTACAAAGTTATAAAAATTTTATATGTTGTCAACTATACAAATGGCAAAAATACATGCGGATGTTGCGTCGATTTATCACGCAATCCAGATGATAATGAAGCAATGCATGTGCGATGACGCTGCATCAAAGATCACTCATATATGTATGTACATTGCTTCAATGCTAGAGACATTGTTTATATTGTATCTACACTTATATCAAATAATGGACATCCGGCATCTGTAATCATCATCTAGTCTCTGAATAAATAATAATTGCTGTATATTCTCGATTAACATCTCGAGAATCAGCCTCGAGATTAACCGTTATTGATTGTCGCATTTCACTCTCTCTTTCTGATCCCCCACCGTATCTCTCACAACGCTTTTCGTATCTCCCTCTCCTGTATCCGTTGTTCGTCAATTCACAGCAGGTTTAAAACGCCTTCTTGAGTTCATTCGTTAGCGACACAACCATGCGATACCACTTGTTCGATTCTCGCGCCTGGCTGGTGGCCGCCGTCTTTGTTACATTTGTCTGTCATAGTTTGGTAAGTATAACTAATTTTGAATTTCGAGAAATATTCTTTTTCATTAAACATTTCCAGCAAACAAACAAATTGATGATGACCTAAACAATAAAAATTAAAACGTACATTACATTTACTAAATTCATAAATTCCTGAAACCTGCGCACATTCGGATTATGGCTCTTATATTTTGACCTTGAAAAGATTTATTTTTATCATATGGAAATAATATAATAATAGTCTTATACTTTTTCACTGCAACATTGTTGATGTTACACGTTCATAATATTATATTTCCATATATTTTTATTTAACATTCTCTTCATTTGAATATTTTAATTTAATTAACTAGTTTTTTTAATTTGCATATTGGAGCTGCCAATTAAAAGTCTATCAATTCTTTTTAATTCGTTAATTTTTTTTATAAAAGACAAAGAAAGAGTTAACGTGTAAAGACAGTCAATACTTAGATTTTTAGGCAGTACGTGATTATTTTATAAATTTGTTTAAGTCCAATGCACAATTGGTCGATGACAAATCGGAGAGGACCAACGTGAGCGTGGATGTTTATTATGAATCATTATGCAGCGATAGTATGCGATGGATCGTAAATCAACTCATACCATCGTATTCGGAATTGAAAAATCATCTCCACATCACGTTGATTCCTTATGGTAAAGCTACGGTGAGTAATAATTTTTATCGTAACTCGCATTAAACATTTATCATGTAATCATGAAGCAATATATAAAGTAATGAAATGATCTTTAATGATAATAATATCTCGAGTGGACACGTTTATAATCTGTAGAAGTGTAGAAAAAAAAACTTTGTACATATCTTTTTTATCGCTCTCTCATAAAGTTTTTAGTTACCTTTGATCTTCGCATTTATAATCTGTTTTATCACATTCTTTATATCGAATTTTGTATAAAACACGCATAACATATTTATTAATAATCTAACTTTCCAACACATTTATTATACATTGCAGTAAGTTTCTTACTGGAAATATTTAAAAATATAGTTTCAAATTTACTTTTATATTATTATTTTTTTGTTTTTTTCCTTTGTATTATTTTCTCTCTCTCTCTTTTGTATACTTTTTTATTCTGTACTACTAATTTAATCGTGTAAAACTCTTCAAGAAATTATTACACAAAGGATGAATCTGCTTTGAATCACGTGAATACCCTTGAAAACGCTAAACGATGACCTTGCTATAGTCTTCAGTCTTATAAACGTCGATGAGAATGCTACCTTTTCATGGCAAGCACATTAATGCAAATTAATGATACATACATAGCACGCGCGCGAAAGCGAAACCGGTCCATGGCAGTTCTTGTGTCAACATGGATCTGCCGAGTGCCGCGGGAATAAGGCCCAAGCGTGCGCGATTCACAGCATACAGACCTCCGAAGAGGCCCAGAAGCAACAGCAACTGACGGTTAAACTGGTCGGTTGTGCAATGTCCGCTAGAAATCCGTCGACCGCTGTTCCGCAGGTAGTTTATTTCTATAATTTTCCAGCTGGTAAAATACGTGGTTAATTGAAGCGGCATTGAGACTGCGGCGAATATGCTTTTACTCTGAAGTAATATGTAATTAATCTCCGTAGGACGTGTTTCCGATGGGCAAGAGTTAACCAACTGACATTTAACTCTAATGACATCGACCTTTTGGCATACTTTCTCATCGAAATCGCGAGATAGCATGTTACATACGTACACTTTATCAGAATGTACTTTGGTATCCTTAAATGTTATATATATTCCTGAGATCTCGTACATATTATAACTTAATAAAAAAGAATGATTATTATAGTTAAAAATTGAGATAACAGAAATATCGTTAGATATTTTATCCATAGTTATATAATTAAGATAGAAACTTAAAAAATCTAAATTAAATTGTTTTTTTTTAAATAATATCTATAATGATAAAATATCTAGCGATATCTCTAATATTTACGGATAAATATGACAGTGCAAATATTTAAATAATATCATAAAGATATTTGAAAAACATTCAAATTTTGTAGATGTGTTAAATTAATTATTGTTGAAGATTTTGTTTGAATATTATTCCTTTTTATAAATACTTCTGAAAATATCTGATAATAATCTATACGTAAACCGTAAATATAGAAAGTATTGCAGTTCCTCTTAAATTTTACAAATACTGCTGATATTTCAAAGCTCGATGACACACGTTTCATTATGTTTTCAGTCACGTCGCAGTCACAAGCCATAAAAATATTTAAATTTCTCAGTGATAATTACGTCCCTTACTGTTAAGATAATATGTAATGATAAAAATTTATATAAAAAAAAACTAAATTTTTGAATAACTGACTTTTAGTGCGCTCAAGACATTGGTCTAACCGAAGGAACACAAAAATTGATTAATGAATGCATCGAGAGCTCGTTCGGAGACGATTTGCTCGCAGCGAATGGTGACAAAACGCACAATCTACAACCACCGCTTAGATTCGTACCAACGATAATAATTAACGGGGTAAGCTACATTTCATTTCGTATGATCTGTATAACTAATAAGATAAGTCGACATATTTTTAATCAGTCAACATCTAAATATATCTCTTTTTCAATATTCATGTATATAACTTGAAAACATACAAATACATACAATATAAATTTATTTTTAGTAGAGCATATATATCTTATTTTTTCTTAATGTGTATGTTATTTATTCATGTAATATTCATGTAATATTTATGTAAATTTGATTTTTTTTATTTTATGCAGTCCATTTTTCACATTTTTCTCAAGCCTTCAGTTCTTTCTTTTTTCAGTATTGTGATTATAGTTCATTATACAGTTCTTTTATTTCTGTTATTAATAAATTAGAATTAAATAAAATGTTGTAGATTATATATATGTTCACTGCACATTTTTTGTGACTTAATTTTTTATAAAATTTATTCTTTATAATATTAATATTAATTTAAATTTTTTAATTAAAAAAATTTTTTTATTATTATATTACATTATAATATTATTAAATTTGCTACTAATTATTTGCTAACAATTATATAAAAATTAAAAAGTCCCCTGTGTGTTCATACAATTACACAAAATAATCTCAATTATATATACAGGTATACTCAAAGGAAAATCAGGACGTGGCACTAAACAATTTCTCCAAACTAATTTGTCACCATTTAACAGAGCAGGAGAAACCGAGTATTTGCAGCAGTGTGAATTGAAGAAAATTAGAAAGGAAGGATAAAACCGAGTCACACATTGAAGGTGCGGGGACAAATAATCGCTCGGTTAAAATAAATGATATATTGTTCGCTTATATAATATACATAAGTACCTATATACAAAAATATATACGATTTGTCAAATATAACGGACTAATACATATAAAAATGATTGTAAAAAAAATGAAATAAATGAATCTTTGGAAAGACAGCGCGATTCGTCGATAATGAGATCGTGACGATAAGAATGAATGCGCCAGTGAATGATCAGAGAGAGTGAATGATCCATCTCTCTTATTTCCAACAATATGTAAAACAATCATTTTTGTTTAAGTGAGTATACGATATTAGCAATTATCAATTAACAGAATTATATATGGTAAATTATACATCCTTTAAAATAATAATATTCATAATGATATGCGACACTTTCAGCGCTCTTTGATTAAAATATAATTAATATATTTCGAATTGAATAAAAATAAAATCATTATATAAACATGATTTCATACTAAACGGTCATATTTAATGTATAAATAATATTATTTACATTTTCTGAGGGTGATCTTTCGACAAATCAAACTTGTATTCTTACCGCTCATTCACCGAAGCATCTACCCTGTTTCGCCTTCGTGAGAAGATTCTCCTGCTGAGAGAAATCAGTCGATGAAAATAGCGTCATCGAGAGCGCTCAGCTCGTGAAATTGCTGTTCGATATCGGCGCCAAGATCGTGGAAATCTGGCATATTATCTTCTGCGGACGCACAGTATCCTGAAACAATAGCAATGACGGCTGTTTTTTCTCTGACTGTCGCATTCGATTTTATATGCGCGTTTTTACATACTCCTTATGAAATTACGCGAGGGTCCTTTGGAAATAGCACGGATGCGTGGCACGTGGCATCGCGTCATCTGTTTTGTCACGCGTATGCGCTTGCTCGCTCGTTCGCGCGTTCATCATACGCGCGTACGTCGCGCGGCCCCCCCAAAAAAGTAAAGAATATTATTTTAAGACTCGGTATGGGGTAAAAGCATAAAAGCACGGCGAACCTCCTCTGAGATTAACTATAGATGACTGAGCGTGACACTGTCATCGGCGTCTCATTGCAGTGCGCGAGCCACGACAGAAAAAGCCAACACGCGCACGAGCGGTATCGCATGTACGATCTAATGGCTGATGACCCGCGCGAGCCTTTTTATACGCGTTCTGATCAAAATTACGCGCAACCTAAAGATATCAAAAGAATCTATAACGATGTGATAACATTTCTATTAAATATGTCCGCGGAAAATGCCGCTATATCTTTTTTGAGATAGAATTTTGAAAAATAATTAATCATATGCTCTCTCTCTCTCTCTCCCTCTCTCTCTTTCTTTTCAAAACATTATATACAGAAGATTGAAAATAGCTCAATAATATCAAGATTTTTCCAAGTAGACTCTTGATAAATTTGCTGTAAGATTTAATTTTAATTTAAATATATAATAATTTCATGACAAAGAGAGAGATCAATTTAATAAATATTAACAAATATTTTCGCTAAAAATTAATAGAACTTGTAAACGTAATAACATATTTTTATTATTACTAATAAAAGTCAAAGATCATGCTATCTTGTTCGATGTTTTTCACACATACACATGACAAATGATGTTATGTGTATACATGTAAGTAGTCAGACTAAAAGTAAGATAGAATATTTCTTATCGTATTTCGACCAGATTTTTTATATCGAAGATACTGATTATAAATATTGTCATGCATAGGATAAATCATGCTAAGAATTCAAAACATATAAGATCGTCATGCATAATATCTTTGATTCTAATTTGAGAGGATACTTAAAACTCGTGATTAATATTGATTAATTAGATAGATATATTATTAAAATTCACAATGCATGTAGCATATGGGATTTAAAAAACACCACAAAAATATTACAATTAATAATAAAAGATGGATTGTCTTATATATATGTATATATATAAAGTAATATTATTAAAAATCATTCTCTTTTAAATATTTCGTTGGACGAATATTATTAATATTGTAAGTCATAAATCTCTCGTGACAAAAATTTGATAAGATTTATAGTATTTACTAAAGGTTGGATCGAGAAACTGAATATATATATCTGTTACCTGTACTTTCGCTTTGTGTATTGTTGATATCATTGATAAGAAGATGTCGAACCGATTCGATTGGCACGTACTCCTGTTGGTTACTGTCAAGGTTTATGGAGATTCTATTCGAGTGACGTATATTATTTATGTCTTCATCTTTAATATAAATTTTAGACAGCTTATATGATGGATGATTCGTTTCCACGTCAAAGATACATGTGTTTTGACGTTGTCGGCAAGAATTCATCGAATTTAATGATCCTGTTGCATTGGTTGTCGTCGATACTTTATCCGATAATAAACTCGACAACGTATTAGAATTCTCCGTATGATTTTTCAAGTGCTTCCTAAGGCTCGACGGATCCGTGTAACGTTTGCCACAACCGCTTACCTGACAAGCATATGGTTTCTGGAAATAAAAAATTAACATTATTAATTTTTTATAAAATTATGTTGAAAAAAGATTATTAAATCGATGATGCTCAAATTGATATATTTTACGATTAAATAACTTAAAATATATATGCTATGATAATTTATTAAATAAATGTTAAAAATTATATTAAGCTACAATAAAATTAAAATTAATGAAAATTAAAAATTTAATTAATAAAAATGTAATATATATATATATATATATATATATATATATATATAAATTGCGTTTTTATAAAAAGCTGTTTGAAATATTTTTAAATGCTATTTACACATGAGATAGATAAAAATGACATCATACTCTATCATAATGTGTCCTCTGATGTTTAGCTCGATCGCTGCTGTTGCTAAATGCCTTCGAACAGCCATTGTGTTGACATGCATAAGGTCTCTCGCCTGTATGCGACCTCTGATGAATTTTTAAATTTTCCAAACGACTAAAGGCTTTCTTACAACCGGCAAACTAAACAAAAAATTAACAATTTAGGAAAATTGGTTTGTTGGTAGATAATTCATGCAATTTTTTTTTCATACACAGAAAATTTGTATAGAAAACATGCCGATATCGTAAAAATCATGTTGACGCAGATTTGGAAAAGCAAATGAAGTGACGACAATGACACTAACCGGACATTTGTTCGGCTTCTCTTGCGTGTGTACTCGCATGTGAATGAGCAATTTGTATCTCGCATTGAAGGGTCGTGCGCGTGGACATCCTTGCCATAGACAGGCGAATTCGTCCTCGCGATTCGTCGTCGTTGCCATCGCGGCGCCAGGAAAACCTTCCCCTGTCTCTTTGCCTTCGCGTTCCTTATCCCGGTCCATCCGCTGCATCCGTCTACCGTGACCATGCACGTTCGTCGAGGATGACTCCACATGCCGCCTCTCGATGTGCCGCACCAGGCCCTCCTGTTCTGCAAACGCACAACCGCAGTCGATCCAGTGACATTGGTAAGCCGACGAGACTAAGTTCTCTTCCGCTGGTTTCGCGCAATCTGCAACATGATATATATGCGACTGTAAATACATATTTATACCGAACGTTATAGTCATAAATGTCAAATGATGCTGGAAATATATTTCCGGATTTATTAGAAAATATTTGAAATATATTGGATTGTTATTTCGTTATTAAAAATATTGGAAGTAGACGGATTTTATTTTAATACCAAGGATTTTTATCTGATAAGACATCCAGATAAATTCTGATGAATTAAACAGAATAAATTCCTCTCCGAAACGAAGAGACAAATATACTGCGTACGTACCGTATGACTTATCACTCTTCTCGTTTTCCGCGACTTTTGACCCGGCGACCCGCTGATTGCCGAACAGCAGACCCTCATTCCGCGGCAGTATCACTTGATTGCCGAAACTGTCTGTCGTGCCGACGACATCGCCGGCAAAATTGATCATCGACGGCTGCTGTTGCGAGGAAACGAGGTGTCCGACCGCGTAATATGGGGGGTCCAAGTTCTGGAATGATTCTTGCTGATCGTCGCCCGTGAGACAGGTCGTTGAGGACGTTGACGATGACGACGGCGAGTCCACGGCATTCAGCAAAGACGTCGGATCACCTCTAATTAGACTCAGATCAAACTCATCGCCGATGGAGGATATTTGTGCGGAAGAAGAATCGTAGCTTTGAGCGATATCGTTTTGCATGCTCATCAGCAACGATACCACGTCCTCCTGGCAATCCTCTTGATAATCCTGATGACAACTATGCGACTCTGTTCCGTATTCCGGATAGATCGCGTTGCAGAAGGTCCTCGAGAAGGAAAACGCCGAGCCCATCGACGGTAATTTCTGACAATCCGAGTTATCCTCGCCATGATCCGTCGTCGTCAGTACACTGCTCCAGCTTGGCGTGGTTGCTTCGCTGCAAGTGCTCCCAGGTGATCCACCCCCAGTATTAGCATACTGGGAGGGATATTGAAAGACAACAGGCACCTGGTCCCAGTCGAGATAGTCTTGCGGATCCAACGAGGAGAAGAGGGTACCGTTGTCCGTCTGCGAGGTCATCCAGCAATGCGACTGTGCGTCGTCGATCCCTATACCGGTCATGGATGCCAAGGACGTCATATCGGGCAGCGAACCGTCGTCGACGAAGTCGTCCAGGCCGGATATGGAACGTCGCGCGTCCTCCTCGCTTCTCTCGCCGTGATAATCCTCGAGGTGCATCTTCTTCCCCTCCTCCTCCTTTGTGGTCGTCGGTCCGGGCTCGACGCGACCGGCAGCCTGTCGTCAATCATAGCGATACGTATATACTTAATTGCAATAGACCGATTAAATTGCGAAACTATAGCGAGGATTTTGTAACGTAACATGCGCGCAACAAGATTGAGAAAGTCAGCGCGAGACGCGCATTTAATGTCATCCCACTCCCCGCATGTGCTCTTTGCTCGACTATCATCTCTCGGGAGCTCTCGTTAGGCATGAGATAACGGAACCCAGCAAAGATATCGATAGATAACGATAATAATGATACGAATGATTGAGTTCGCGACGATTATGCGATTATGTAGTTGTCGTATGAACGTGAATTGACAAATTGTCGCGAGCGTCACTTCTTTATTATTTTTTTGGCATTCTTCTTATAAAAATCCTTTTACTTCTTGCTAACGTTATCGCTTCATTTGCTGCCGCCAAGTAGACGAAGTCACGTGGCATTTTCCACGCGCCACAATTTGAATCGCAACTAATAGCGCATGTGCATAATTTTTGATAGATAAAATATATGTAATTTAGATTGAACAATGAGAGATAAATTGTAGCAAAATAATGCACGTTGATTAAACCGATAATGTAATTTTTTGCTGGATAATGTAAATGAGATTCATCTATTGAACATATATGAGCATAGAAATATATATAGGGCTCAAAAAAATAAGAATCAATCCTCTATAAAAACGAGTGAATATTGTTTTGGCTAAATCTATAGCTAGATTCTAAAAATAGAATCTTGAGTACTTACGTATAATTTACTGTATATCATATCTCTACATAGGGAAAAAAGCCACTGCAATCATTAGATTATGATATCGTTATAAGAAATACTTTCGATTTTTAAGCAAGGAAGAAGCAACTGTTGGTGTGGTTTTTTGATCAATCAAAATAGTAATCTTTTCTGTTCTTTCAATTGCAATTTTTATCAAATCAACTTTTTATCAAAATTCTATCCTTTATTTGATTTAATCCACTAGGAGAAAATGAGATGTAATCAGACACGGAGCACAATATAATGAAATCTGATTTTTCTTTTGTCAGGAAACGTATAATAATCGCTCCAAAGACGCTAGACTTCTCTCATAAGTAACGTCTTAATCCCGCGTATTGTTAAATTATCGCGAGCACAAAGAGATATCTCCGATTGTTTGATAGTCTCACTTTTCTCTGCGAATCGATGATAGTAAAAAATTGAAGAATATAACGCTAGAAGAGTAGCTTACTTCGATATCAACGTATCAACATGTACACGTCGATCGCGAACACGCTTATCGCATTGGTCTTTTCCGCTCTTACTCTCTCGTGGTACGCACGCGACAAACAATTAATCAGACTAGAGACAACGTAAACGCCGAATGAATGAACAAAACAACGCTCGCCGCGAAACTGATAAGGGGGTTGACGCTTTCGCACCACTCGTTAACGCGTCTCGTCGAAGACTATCAGCCGCGCGACGACCGCTTTCTTCCGCCAAGGAGTCCCGAGCAGAGAGGATCAAGATCTTCCCCTCCTCCGCAGCAAAGCTCTTCGAAATCGCTCCTCTCCTTGGAAAACGTATACGGAGGGAATATTATAAAAAACCACGCGAGGATACGAGAAGGCGCGTGAGGGAATATCGCGCCGCCCACTCGCGTGGCTGCATCGTGCCAAGTCGTTCCTCCCCAAGTCCCCCCTCGCTTGCCTATCCGCGGCTGCACTTGTCGCTGCGCGACACCGGGGGTCCTGCGGTCCCTTCGAGCCTCGGGGGTGGCGGGCACGATCGAACATCTGTTGGCGCGCGTTCGATGCCCCGCGCGGGAGCATTCTTCCCTTGGAGTAATTTCCAAGCCTCCTTCAAGTCGGAATCGTCGCACATTGTGCGAGTCGGTCATTCATGATTTGACAGATTACGCTCGATGATACACAAGTGATTTTGCTGATAAAACTTCCCTATATCAAACATTGTAAAATATATAAGTAATATATCAATATAAGAACTGTATATTATAAAAAAATAGAATAATGATTTAATTATGATTTTTATTTTGATTATGATTTCTTAATAATTATTTCAATAAAATAAATTCAATAAATTCAAAGAAGAAAATCGTTTCTTATAGTTCTGTTGACACTCAATACAATTTTGGCCTGAGAAATATTTTATCAGAAAATAATTCAAAACTACTTGTATTGTTGTTTATTTAATAGAGTCAAGACAGCGTAAACATTGTACAAACGAGAGAGACGATAGATATAGGAGAAAAAGAAAGGATGAAAAAGAAAGGAGAGAGCTCAAGATGATCTTTCGTCGCTCGAACCCTAAGAATCGGGTACAGAGCAAAAAAATGTAAAACCAGCTGCCACACACGCGTCACTTATTAACAACAGCTTCTACGCGCGCAACACATGAGGACACAAGTCATTCACTCCTTGTTCTCCTATTACAAGCTACCGTTATTACATGTATCTTCTCACCTCGTTTCATTGTGTCATATTCCCAATCTTTGCACTTTTAATTCTTACAACAATTCATACACTTCTAACAAACGCATTATTTTCTTGAAGAGAAAAATGTATTATTGAATATCTTTAAACTGATATTCTTGCTATATGGAACGTGAAATTTTTTCACAATACAATTCGATTTCTTATCTATTATCCTCTCCATCTTGGATATTATAAAATAATCTTTTTTCATATTTTAGTTACTTCTGAATACTTAAAAAAATTTTTTAAAATCATATTCATCATTCTAATGACACGAAGAAAGGTAATTTTCCAGCATAATTATAAATAGTGTTTAGAATTACCTATAAAAATGTATATATTAAAAATTTTTAAGTGAAAAAGATGCAGATTTTTTTATAACTGGATATAAAATATATATTTTTCTCTCCCTATATTTTTGGATAAATCTTACCTCACACTGGTGTATATGCTGATATGCTAAAATATTATTTCGTATCTTTCCATTTTCCCTATACGTAAAATGATACACATGAAATAGTGTACATACAATAATATGTGTTACATGACTTGCTCTCACTCTTCTTGCGCTTTTCTTACGCGGAAAATTACGCGTACACACGAACATGTATACGTCTTGGTGCATCTTCCATGGACGAACTGTACATCATATTACGGGTAGATAAGTGATAGAGTGGCACATGTGGTCTGCCAGCCCTCTATGCTTACTTTATATACATACTATGCCCGCTCACGATCCTGCTTTTTTACTCGGGCACCTGTCAACTTCGCTCGTACCATAGTCGCCGCATGTGTGTACGCGCGGTCCGACCGCCCTTAAAATAAATATACTCTGTAAAAAGGACACCGATCATATTCTCTCTCCATACGGATGCAATAACAGCGAAACATATAAAAAACCATTTTGAACGCGTTTAATCGCGCCTCGCATAAAAACGATTAATCGCTCCCCTCGCATGATCTTCCTTGTGAAGTAATTATATCTCAATTATTTTATCTCGACAAATTAATATTTGCATAAATTAATATTTGCACTCATGATTATTATTATTATTATAAAATCTTATTGTTTTGACCTTTGATATTAATATATGATAATTATATTGTAACGACCATGACATTATTCCTGTATATTCATTTGTAAAGAAAATCAATACAAAATATTTCAGAATTGTAAAATATCTATAGAGATCAAAATATTCTAATCTTGGGAAAACACATTGTAAATGTTACAAAGTAAAATATGTATCAAAAAATGAGAAAAAAAAGAGAAAAATGCTTAAATTATTTATAGACATTTGTAGACTATCAAATATTAATTTTGAAATGTTCACATTTGATGGAGAGTTATAGAGATATATGTTAATAACAATTACCTATCGTGGATCTTTCAAATTTGAAAATTTAATAAATATTGAGAAAAATTGAATAAACATTATGAAAGTAGCATTTTCTTTCTTTAGACAAGAAAGTATTTACAAACGATAAATTGCTTAAGTCAAACTGTTTTGACGAGAGTACTCGAAACTTAAATGTTCACATTCATATACAGAACTCTGATATAATAAAACGACTGATACATGGAGTATTGAAAATAGCATAGACTATAACACGTATATACATACGGCAAACGTTTAGCGTTCGGTCAAGCGACGTAAAAATAGAAAGACGCTCTGCATGTGAGTTCGTATAATTAGGTACCAAACTGAGAGGATATGTTGTGTTTTTTATGTTTCATACGTTACAAACATAGTCCATTAGAGAGAATCTAATGGCAGATCATCCATTCGTTTTTTTGCCTACAGTGCAGTAACGGGTATAATTTACTTCGAAACGAGAATTACATAAACTTTGTCCATATATATATATATATATATAAAATGCGTTCACGCACAGTCCATATATATATATAAAAATCTACAATAAGATGATTATTTGACACAGTTGATTATATTAATAATGTTTTTCTTTTTACATATAGATTTATAAAAATTTTTTTTGTTATATATAATTATTTACAAAGTTGAAAAATTGTGCTTATTATTTTATCAATATTATAGAAATAATAATTTAATATTGCCTATAACTGCTGATGTTATATGAGTCATTTGTTGTTCTTATAGATTGAGACAATACCGTGGAATGTGTAGTTGTATCAACTTTGGCCTCATTTTCAACAATTGGAAAATGTTGCACACGTCCACTATTCCAAGCTATTGTTAAACAAACCCACGGTGAATGTTTTTGATAAAAATTAATACAGTTTGGTACTTCACCGGGAAATCCTTTAATGAGACAGCTTGGCTGCACTTCCACTATTCGTGATAAACTACTTAAGCTTGTTTTCACTAGAGCAATAACTGGACTATCCTATTTTCCAGAAAAAAAAAAAAACAAATGCCAAATTAGCACTAAGCATTTCATGATTTAACTTGTATGTGTTTGTTTCAGTTTGCACTTTTTGTTTTATTTATTAATTAATTTATTAATTTATTTTTTATTTATTTCCTTTTATTTCTTTTCTTTTTTCCTCTCTAAATATACATCTATTTTTTTATACACAAAAAATGCAAGTAAACCAAACAGATCTATTTAATTATACAGACCTGGAAAAGAATAGCGAGATATTTTCCTGTTGAATCCCATTCCATGGAAGTTATTCTGCCTCCAACTGTGATATAATCATTATCATCCCAAGAAAAATTTACTTTCGTTAAATCGATTAGACGCATGGCTATCTTTACATCATTATCAGTTGCTTTTTTAACATCAAATATATTATCTTGCAATGGCAATGAGAATATTGTAGCAGGATCTTCAGTAGTAGCAAAGAGTAATGTTAAATTAGGACCAAAGCATGCAGTCGCTACACGACCATGAGGAACTGTCCATCTTTCTGCATGCCATGGCGTTGGAACACCAGTATTCCAAACTCTAACATTAAATATCAATTTCTTTAATTATATATGCTATTATTTGAATACTGAGCAAATCATAGAATACATAGAAAGAAAGTAGATATAAATTTGAAAATATTACCTAAAAACATTCCTACATGAAGCAGACAATAATCGTGAGCCACAAGATGACCAATGTATGAAACATATGCCACCTCCACCAACACGTTTTAAAGGGACTCCATCTTCTCTTGAAACATCCCAAATTATTACATTTAAATCTGTTGGTGAACAAGATGCCAATAAACCACCCTAAAAAAAACCGTTTTATATAATAAATTATAATTCCTACAACATTTCTATTAAATATCAATAAAAATAAAATGAATAAAGCTTACTTGCGAATGCCACATAACACTTGTAACAGGTACATGATTTCTTTGCTTTAAAAGTATCACGTGACTAAGTAAATTACTGGCTGCACCCAATTCTATCGTCCAAATTAAAACTCCGGAATAACATGCAGCTGCCAATTCACGGCCAGCATATGGTCTCCAATTTAAACAGCAAACTGACTTTTGTGCGCTATGTCTCAATACTGGTATACCTAGTATGCCTTGTGAATAAATACGTATTCGATCATCTCTTGTAGCTACAGCTAGACGAGCGCAATGCGGATGCCAAGATAGACACCTAATCTATCACAAACATTATACAAATATTTCAATACTCAAATCTGTCTATATATTTCTAATCAATTCCTGATTGAATCATCTTACCAATGATGTATTCCAATCCCTTGTAGCAACAATATCGGCAACAGATCCAGTTCCTGATGTTGGTAACACATCTCTCTGATATATTCCTCTTTCCATTAAATCCAACATCCAATTCCATCTGGAATCGTTACATATTTCTTCACATTAACATCAAAATATTATATCTATTGATAAGGCAAGCAATAGAAAATATTATATCGTTACCTCGTTGCCACCCAATGTACAACATTTGTAATCTCCTCCGGATTTGCAGCTGCAGCAAAACGAATGGCTTCGGAGAATCCTTTCTCTCTCCATACATTTGCAAGCTTTTTGAAGATGCTATCATGAATAGGCAGAAATAATTCTCCAGCACTGACCGTGCGCGCAGAGTCGCGGGTGGCCAGAATCTCCTGGGTGATAGAAATCTCGGGATACCCACGCAAATACTTGGAGAAAGGTTGCATCTCATCGTGCATCTTGTCGTAGGTGCAATAATGCACGATACCGTCGATTAAACCAACGACTGCCGTATCGTCCAAAACAGGACACTCGAAATCTTGAAGTGACAATATTTTCAGCATCTTTGCTCTTCTCTTCTGTCTCTTTTATCAAGAACCGCAACGATCTAACCTGTACGTTTAATCCGTTACCGCGTGACTCACAATATTCATGAATAAATCGTATAAAAACGTGATTTCCAACGAATTACACAAACAATTTAGATGTTTTATCTTTGCATATTTCAAATCGAAAACTAGTTTTCTAACTTAATTTTTACATACACATGTATAACAGAAATAGTGTAGTTTAATGGACACAATCAAACATCGAATCCAATGATACATACGAGAGTTTCTCTGTCTCTCTCTGTCTCTCTGTCTTTCTCTCTCGCTCTCTTATCTTGCTTTAATATATTTTATTATATTATATATCATAAAAAAACTGAATAAAAATATATGACAGCGTAAAAAATTTATTACACTAAAAACAATTTCACCTATTATTTTCAGTATTATATTCTATGAAATTTACACAATAAATCCTACATTAAGCACATCAATATTAAAGAGAAGAAAAAAATTCAAAATTATTACGCATATATAAAACAACATTAAAAAAAACCATATAAATTTAAGATTTCATCATTTAAATTGTACAAAATTGGAAATCTGTAAATTGTACAATATAAAAACTCACATATACACAATACAAATTTTATCGCGTATCCCTTTATCGGCAATCGGAGGAAAATGGCGCAAAACTTGTTTATTTGGTCGCTCGTGGCAACCGTTGCTAGGCAACGCGATTATGTACAGTGCGCGTGCGCGCGCAGTTTCGGGGTCCATTCGAATTGTTTTACCGTGTAAGATCGCGATGCGAGAGCCGGTGCTCGCTGCGGTTCGCGTGTCGTCTCGTACGAATGCGTTCGCGGAATAATATCGCGTGATTATAGTTAAAGTGATAATTCACCCTTGCGCGAGAATCTTTCGAGAAATCGCGAAGTGGAACAGCCGGCTAGCGCGAGGGCGCCCGCGCACGTAGATTAGAGATGCACTTTCTACACCTGTTCACTCGCGTCTCTCTCTCGCCTGCGTCGCGAACGTACGCTTGTTTCGTTTCCGAGTGCGGTAGGTGCGAGAAACGCAGACGAAAAGTACAATCCACGGCGTAGTGACGACAGCGAGAAGGAGGAGGGAGCGTGATAAGAAAGAGAGAGAGAGAGAGTAGGTATGTGCGCGTTTACGCGAGAGAGCGCGCGAAGCGGGACGGGAGGGGGACGTCGTCGGGAGGGGCGAGGTGGGGACCGCAGTGTGCGGTCGTCGTTCGAGCAGGGTGGGTTGCGTATCAGAATCGTTCGTTGCGTTCGCGAATCGAGGGCTTGTGCCTTTTCGCGAGAGGAGCTTGCCGTGTCACGTTATAACACATATACGAACGAACGAGCGCGAAATCGCGAGAGCTTTGTCGCCGTTTCGATCGACGAACGAACGAACGAAGCAACGAGCTCGCGAGCGACGACGACGACGATTCCGGCGTGGATTCGCACGGTTATCGCGATGCTACCGCCGAGGTAGTCCGCGAATCGAGGGGATCCGCGCGCGATGACGATCTCGGCCCGTCGAGCGTTCCCGTTCCCGTCTTAGAAGAGGAACGAGGCGCGGGCTCGACCGAAAGGGCAACCGAAAGACTGATCTCGTAGCGGTGCAGGACGAGGGCGCAGAGGCGGAAGAGAGGGACGGTAGTGGCGCGGGCGACTGCGAGAGATGGGCAAGAAGGGTTCCAAGCGGAAGACCCGATGGAGAACTCTGAGCATCGGTGGTGAGTAATTTCCCGTCTCTACCCCCTCCTGTCGTTCCTTCTTTCTCGCTCATCGCGCCGTCTCGTGTCTCGCGTAACATTTTCCTCGCGAGCGAAGAACAATTCCGTGAGAGACGTAAAGTGTACGGCCGGTCATCGATCAACGGGCGAGATGTCGGAGCGAAAAAGAGGGAGATAGAAGGAGAGGAGAGGAGAGGACATTTCGCGTTATCGCGAGGTGCTCCTCCGTCTCTTCGACCTTTGAGACTTTTTCAATCTGTCCCTTTTGCCTGTACAGTCGTACGTTTCCTCTACTGAAGATAAAACGAGTCGTGTTGCCGAGCCTTCGAAGAGAGGAAAGGTAGATAAATATTATAACCGAGCGAAAATTTCGTACTTGCACGGTTATAATATTTTGTTATGAATCCATGATATATCCATGATTTGTAATCAAATCAAAAGATTTCCGATCGATCGCAGATAAATGCGAGAGATGCAACTGAGAGAGACGGTATTCCCCTTCTTTTCCGACAATTTTTCCAGCGTGTTTCCAATACGTTCGGAACGTCCGATAGATCTCTTTCCAGGCTGGATGTTCTCGCGAGTCACGATTTTTATCCGCTACTGTCTCTGTAAAAAAAAAAAAGAATGACGCGGCTCTAGCATAACAAACAAGGACGCGAAAGCGTTGTCTCTAGGACGAGGAACGAGGATTTTATACTACGCAACTCGCTCACATATGTTCCTGATCGTAATAATAGAGGTCTGTCTATTAGCCTTTCGCGAATGACATAAGCTTTCGGAAAACTCGATACGGGACGTTCGAGTTATTTAACGCTATTACCGAAAATTTATATCCAGATGAAGAAAAAAGCTCTTGATATCTTTTGACTCTTTCGAGGGAAACAAAGTTTCTCAAAAATCTAACACGAATTATTATTTTTATTCTTATCGAAGAAACTGAACTTTTGATTTGCGAGAACGATGAACGAAGATTATATTCGTTTCACGTACGTTTCACGCTCTTAAATAAATAATACATCAACAGAGTAATAATAGATATTTATCTTTGACCTTTCTGGTGAAAAAGAGAATTTTAATTTATATGACTCCTACCAATCAATTGGCAATATATATATATATATATATATATATATATATATATATATGCTATACTGCTATATCTATGAATATCTATATTATAATGATCATCATCTGGCTGAAAATAGAGAATTAGTCGAACGTCAAAAGATATTAATCAACATGACAGTTCCAACTGTAACAATGGAGAGATGTTTTCATCCTCCGAGCTTGCACGAAAAGCGCGAGAGATTTACGGAAAAGTCCGACTCGAGTTATTTATCGTTCCCGGAAGTCAAATTTATCCAATTTGCGAAAATGCTGTTTTTTAGCGCATTGAAGATTGTAATCATAACGATGTCTTACATCTCGCGCAAAGAACCGGGAAACCTTTGAGAAAACTCGACGCTCAGTCATGCTTATTATCACGATCGAAAGTCTTGTTTCTTTATTTCGCAAGACGAATCTTGAATATAAGATGACAACGTATAACTTGAATTATTCAACGCATCTTCAGCTTAAAATCTTGCGCAGAAAGTCCGAGGTCTTTTCGTCAAATTTTATGAATTTTTTTTTATATTTATCGTTACCGATAATCCGAGTTCTCATGCCGAGGGTTCTTCCGCTTGCAAATTCTCGCCTTCGAGTCCAACTCATGTCGCATCGATCCGCGCCCACCCTACCTACCTACCTGACTTTTCTCCTCCGTAACGTTACCGTACCTATTTACTCGCTTATGTTAGACATACCGCGCGTAAGATCACGCTTTACACGTTACGACCTTCCCTCGTTGCTTGGCTCGTTCGTATAATACATTTCTTTCTTCGCGACGAGAGCTTGAACGGTGTTTATTACCTGCGGCTTATCCTTGATCGAAGTATGTCTCGACAGCTTCGATTTTCTGCTCTATTAATCTTTTATGTTTAAAAAAGGTGCAAGAAAAAATTTAAAATATTAAATATAAAATAAAATTTAAAATTTAAAATATCTTCGATATATATATTTTATCTCAATATGTAGAATTATTCGTAATATTATCAATTGTAATAATTATTACAATATATATATATATATATATATATATATATATATATAAAATATTGTAAATTTAATTTTCTCTTTTGAAAAATAGAGGTTTATTTATTTATTTTTTTTTCCAATTTAAGTACGTGTTACGCACGTGAATGGACTCAAGGATATTGCGATATGTAAACATAACAGTTCTATAATACAGTGTATAATTTTTTTTGTGTTTATTCTAATTTTCGTCATATCAGATAAGGTACATAGATCTTTACGTGATGTGACTGTGCGCATATCAAATACACAAAGGTTAAGAATAATAATAAGAAGAAAACATACATGATTTTTATGGCAATAGAAATTATTTATGACATAATATGTGCAGATTATAACACGCATATGATAATTATAGCAGAGTTGTATAGTGAGAAAACACTGCGCGGGTTCAGTGTATATATATATATATATATATATATATATATATATATATATATATATATATATATAACACAGTTACAAGTTATCTAGAAAATAAAAATTGATATTCTAGCAATATTTTATTTTGAAAATTTACATCCTCTGATATACATACATACATACATACATATACATACATAGATATATATATATATGTATATGTATGTATGTATGTATGTATGTATATCAGAGGATGTAAATTTTCAAAATAAAATATTGCTAGAATATCAATTTTTATTTTCTAGATAACTTGTAACTGTGTTATATACATGTTATATATATATCTATGTTATATACCTATGTTATATTGCCTTTTATTTTAACAAATTTAAATAATAAAAGAATTTTTTTATAAACCTATATGGTTATAACTCATAAACATAAATTTCCTCCAGTTATATGTTAAAAAAAAATATATATATATTTTTTTTTATTTATTTTTTTATTTTATATATATATATATATATATATATATAGAAAAATAAATTTTAATTGTATTTAAAACATAGAATCACTTTGCAAATATCTTCAAAATATCAATATTGCAATTAATTAATATTTATCACCACGTGTTTTAAGACAAGATATATGATTTATTGTGGTATTTAAAGATAACAAAAGCTAACAATAAGTGTGTCGATATAAGTATACGTCTCTATCAAAATTCTCTAAAAGCCAATCATATTTCGAGATAAATATTCAAACGTATATACATATATATCCTATTTTGCAACAAATTATATATATAAAATTGTACAATAACAAAATATCTTTAATGAGAAGAAGAGATGAAAGAAAAAGAAAGAGAAAATAAAGACTGAAAGAAAGACTAAATTTTTGAAAACTATTTGTAAAGTTCTTCTCGTCCTCTATAATATCTTGTCCTCTAGTATCTTTTAACAATATTATTTTTGTTATCCTTTTTGGCTGGCACGATTGTAGTAATTTTCGTTAAATGAGGAAAAAATGAATAACATCAAAGATATAGATACTTATGTCTTCTCATTTCATATTTATTTCTATCTTACTATCTTAGTTTTTGAAACGCGAAGAGATTATCTCGAAGCATAATTTTCTCTTTTTTCTCCTATTTTTATAACGGATGTCTCCATCGATGCATATCGTCATCTATGTCTATTCAGCGACCCGATAACTTGAATGTAAACTCATTGTTAGTTATACAATGCTGAGTGTTTTCTTTATCTCGTGCCTTTTTGTAACGATATCTTGTAACGATATCAAATTTTTGCATTATTTTTTATCATTAATAAGTTTATTTGGAATAAGAATTAAATTGAGCAATACAGTAAATTATAATAAATTTAATAGTTAATAATAAATTACACAGTTATTTAAGAAAATGCATAATAATTGAGAATTATATTTAAAAATCAAATTAAACATTAGGAATAATAATTGTAGTTTTATTTTATTCACAAAAATATTATCATACCGAAGAAAGTTTGCATATATTTTTCAGCTAGTTATTAATATTATTCACAATTATAAATTTTATTATTATTTATTTATGCATTAGTATAATTAATATCGTAATTATAATAGTCTATATTTGTATATTTTTGATTCATAATTATTTTTGAAGATTTCTATTTCTATTTTTATATATTTATAGGAAAGAGAAATCATAAAATCTCAAGTATTATAATTTCGTCATCTACTATATATTATTATTACAAGAGAAAATTTTCTCGACTCAAACGCATGTCAATGATAACCAATACAAACATATTCGAGCACACTAGGTCAGAGCAATAATGTGCTGCACATCTCGATGTAGGAGCAATTG